AGCAGCTGCAGAGGGAACAAAGAGCAGCTGCAGAGGGACCAAAGAGCAGCTGCAGAGGGAACAAAGAGCTGCTGCAGAGGGACCAAAGAGTGGCTGCAGAGGGACCAAAGAGCAGCTGCAGAGGGACCAAAGAGCAGCTGCAGAGGGACCAAAGAGCGGCTGCAGAGGGAACAAAGAGCAGCTGCAGAGGGAACAAAGAGCAGCTGCAGAGGGAACAAAGAGCAGCTGCAGAGGGAACAAAGAGCAGCTGCAGAGGGACCAAAGAGCAGCTGCAGAGGGACCAAAGAGCAGCTGCAGAGGGAACAAAGAGCAGCTGCAGAGGGACCAAAGAGCAGCTGCAGAGGGAACAAAGAGCAGCTGCAGGGGGAGCAAAGAGCCACAGGTTGCAGACCCCTGTCTTAGATCCTTGTATACCGTTTCTTTTTTACTTTATATTTTTGTTATTTTTGGATGTAACTGGGATCTTGAGTACAGAAATTTGTTCCACCTTATGTACCACATGTGATGCAAACGACAATAAAGAACTTCAACTTGATCTTTTAGCTAGTGTTTTCTGAACTTTTATATTTGGTTTAATGTTCTTTCAGGTTTAACTAGTTTGGGTATTTTTAACTTTTAGTGTTTTGTTTTTATAATTTTAACTTATTTACGTTCTTTTTTCCATTTACTACTTTTAACAAGCCTTTCACTACCTGTAGTTTGTGTGTTTAGTGCTTTGCCTATTTTAGCATTTAGTAGCGTTTTGCTACTTTTGTCCATTGTTCTGCTTCGTACCTTTAGCCACTCAGTTTAAGCTGTTTCAGCTAACTTCAGCAGTCATTCAGATAAACATTCACGGTGCATTTTGGCACAGAATCTAAACTCTTTAGTTGGTTCTGAGGTCGAAACGGTTTGATTCAGCCAAATGTTTGTAGTTCGTTCAGTTGCAATCCCCATAATAAACCCCATAATCGATCAGTCGATCAATTGATTGCCCACCAGACTGGGAGGAGGAGCTGAATTTACTAAAACTGCTGAAGTCTATTAAGGATACATTTAAAATGCGAGATAAATTTAAGTAAATACATTTAAATAAAACAAATATTTTAAATAAATACATTTAAGAAAATGTGAGCTAGACAAGAACAGTGGGCAGTAATTAAATTCAGAAGACTTACTGCTTTATTCGCTGAAGGGGCGTTCGAAGTAAGTCCTCCAGCTTTTGGTTGTTGAACTCCGGTCGAGCTTCTTGTAGTTTCTTGAAACGTATGAAGGCCTTGTTTTTCTTCAGCTGGATCTGAGGAAGCAGAGGACAAGGTATTGTTTCACATTGAGCTCTAATGAATATTAACACTACAATTATCAGAATCAGCCTTTATTGTCATTGTACTGAAGCACAACAAGATTTCATTTCAGTACAACCCGTTGAAGAAAACACAACCAAAAAACAGACATGGGTAGACGGGTGCCTGAGGCTGCAGCCTCATGAGAGGCACTGCCTTTTTTCATTAGATAAGAAAAAGGGAACACAAGGAAAGAGGTAAAAAAAAATTTTTTTAAATTTAAAAAAAAAATCACATCTCACACTGTGTCCCTGACAAGACACGGTGTGACATTGGGAAAGAAAAACTCAGCACAAAAAAAGCAACGCACAGATCACAAAATAAAATGCATGTGGAGTGGGTGAGGGTGAAGTGGGAGTGATGATAAGGAGTGAGGGGTGGCAAAAGGAGACGGTGTGTTGAGGGGAGTGTGAGCTGTGCAAATTAGTGTATGCATGTGCGCATTTGTAACCAAGTCTGTGAACACTGTTCCAGACAGGTCCATAGATGTCCGTGGGGAAGGGCGGGGGGGCAGAGCATCTTGTTCACATAATGTTCGGGAGAATTTGAGATAGTCAGCTTCCAAGGCGGACACGGAGGAGCCAGACTGAGATAACAGCAGTTGTTTTGGGTCAGGCCGACACCATTAATTTCAATCTGCCTTTAAAGTGTCACTGGAACATCTCGATGGTGACTCCAAACAGATAAATTTGTGGTCAGTTCCACCAAGTCAAGCTTATAACTTCTCCAAGGTCAATTTTTTCCCACCAGCAAGATTCATTAGGATTTAGAAATGGGTTTTTTTCTTCTCTCTCTCTCCCTTGACCTGTCCGGCATTAAAAGAACAAACAAACATCTGATCTAAAGATGATGCAGAAAAACTGGTCCATGCATTTGTCACGTCTAGACTGGACTATTGCAATGGTTTATTATCTGGGTGTCCAAATACTTCTTTAAAACGTCTTCAGTTGATCCAACATGCTGCTGACAGAGTCTTAACTGGAGTTACTGGGAGAGATCATATATCTCCAGTTTTAGCTTCTCTCCATTGGCTCCCTGTCAAATCCAGAATAGAATTCAAAATATTACTTCTAACCTACAAAGCTCTCAACAACCTAGCTCCATCTTATATTACAGATCTTATTGTTCCATATTTTACTAACAGAGCACTTCACTCTCAGACTGCAGGTTTACTTGTGGTTCCTAGAGTTTCCAGCAGCAGAATGGGAGGAAGATCTTCCAGTTCTCAGGCTCCTCTCTTGTGGAACCAACTTCCAGTTTCTGTCCATGAGGCTGACACATTGTCCAGTTTTAAGACTGGGATTAAGACTTTCCTTTTTGATAAATCCTATAGTTAGGGTCAGCTTGTTATGCTGCTATAGACTTAGACTACTAGAGGACAAATTGACCTCATTTCCTTAAATGAATTGTTAAAATTGAATAGTTTTCATTTGATACTATTTCTATCTGAACATGTGATTCTTGACCTGCCATTGTGTATCTATTCCTACCAAAGCCAGCCGGTCGAAGCAGATGGTCCTCTTGTCCTGATCCTGGTTCTGCTAAAGGTTTCTTCCTCATGAGGGAGTTTTTCTTTCCACTGTCGCCTTCATGCTTGTTCAAGATGAGAGTTCAACTCAAAGCTGCTCCTCAGATAAATAATGTTAAATTATTATTTTATACATGAATGTTTCTGTTAAATTATTATTTTATACATGAATGTTTCTGTTCAGTCCCTGAGACGACTTCTGTTGTGACTTGGAGCTTTAGAAATAAACTGAATTGAATTGAGGAGCCACAAGTGTCCAGTGATTGTCAGCAGAAATCACATCCAGCTCACGGCTCAGCTCACACAGCGTCAGAGTGAGTGTTGACATCACGGCACATTCCTTCACACAGGTCAGGCAGCTTCATAATGTCCAGAACAGCTGCTGATGTTTGTTAATTTGTCGATATGCCAGGTAACCACCAACTCCAAAAAGCAGAAATCCTGTTAATATCCAATTATGTACGCATCTTCAACATCCTCGACCGACAGTACGGACAGACACACGATCTTCCACTGCCCTCGGGTATTCATCATGTATCCGGCTGCCAGTGTCCCGTCGGGGCAGGAGGGCTCTCCTTCACTCTGTCTTCTCATCGAGAAAATTTGATCAATTGTGTTGAGAGACCAGCTGACCAGATCCATAATTTACAATTTGGAAGATATGCAAAGGAAGGCTCTGAAAGGTTCACAGGACAAAGAGCAGAAGCAGGAGAAGGAGCGGGAGGAAAAGTGTTCGCCTTCACAGAGAGCAAGAAAAAAAATTCCTTCCCTAAACAGCAAATCATAATCTTCTGAATATGTCCAACACCAAACTATTATTTTCTACAAGTTCCATCAAAATCTGTCCAGTGGTTCATGAGTTATTTTGCTAACAAACACACAAGCAAAGACATTTTCGTCCTTTCACCTTGAGCGGCAGGCGATAATAAAACGTCACCAGACAAACCGCACCTCCAGCGTAAAGAGGCGCACGACGGAACAAAATGTGTTGTCAAATGTGTCATTTTCACACTACGTCGTGTTCTCACCTCAAGCATTGTTTTGGCGTTGTAGATGTTGTCGACATATTTATGATAAAAGTGCAAATGTGAACAGAGCTGGTCCAGGCCTTTCATCAAGTAGCCATTCTCCAAATGGACCAGCAGAGATCTGAACAGAAACAAACAAAAATACTTCAACATTTTAGAACTAAATTAGAAATACTGAAATAGTTGCAAGGGCATATACCAATTTGTTATGTGTAGGGGTCATATAAGAAATATTCATTTCCATGACAGACATTAAGAAATAGATGTAAGAAGATGTAAAAAATGTTCCTTTAAAAATGTGGGTTGTCACGTCAAAATCCAAGATGGCTGTCACCATATACGTGTATATATAAACCTTGTGATCAGATAATTAAAAAAATTAAAATGTGCTGGCTTCTTTCTTAGTCTGTGGTTGCATCCAGGCATAAGAAAAAGTCTCATCAAAAATTGGATGTCAAATCAAAATCCAAGATGGCTGCTGCCATACATAAATGTAAACCTGTGTCATTTGAGTAAACTATGCTTTCTTATTTTATATTGCTTTAACTTACTCAAATGATTGTGATAGCTGAAGATCCATATATGGGGGCCAAGGCCCTCATTGGCCACCCCCTGGCTCCACCCCTGCTCACTCCACTCATGCTGCCTCAAACAAAGAAATAAAAAATAAAAACCTCCCCATGTTGTTCTCCACAGAGTAACGCCTGTCCACTGTTCATTCAACCTTTATTTGTACAGGTGAGTCTCATTGAGCCTCGAGGACTCCTGAACAACAGAGACCTGAATTAACAGAGTGATGACAACAAAGACAACAGACTATCGTAAAAGAAACGTAAATTAAAAAGAATAAATGAAAGAAAATGGCATTAAAAAACTAAACAAAAAACAGCTGGTTGTAAAGTGATGTAGAAAACTAGAATGGTAGAGGAACATGTCTGCATTGGTTTGAGCCATGAACTTAGCAGATGTTTATGGTAAAACCAACACAGACATGTTCCTGCTTTTAGGATTTCTGCTCTACTTCACTTTACAACCCAACAGGTTTTTGTTTCGTATTTTAATGCAATTTTCATCCCTAAGCGATGGGATCTGCTTGTTCAGACCTTGTAAGGTCAAAACTATTGAGCAGTGAACTTTGTGGAGTGTTTTTGCGATGCAGCCACGTGGTGGTCGTCACCCAACACAAAGAGGCCTTTAATACAAGACCAGCCAACACTAAATGGGACACCACAGCGTGAAAACATGAAAAATACAAAAAACAGCATTCTGTACTGTGAGTTAGCATGTATGTGCACACATGCACGTTCAGGGTGAAATCACATCGTAAGCATAATTTTCAACAAAGACATACATGTTTACTAAAAGCTGAAGAGCTGAGCTCCGTTCAGAGATGCTTCACTGCTAATGGGTCGCTTAGCCGCCGAGCTATACCCCAGCACTTTATTTATAAAGATCATAAACAGCAACAAGGCCAGCCAAAGGGCTGCACACCTCATATAATCCATAGATCCACAGAGGAAAAGAACTAAATGACTAACACTGTAGAACACACACAGGTAAAAACAACTCACACAAAAACCAGAGAATAAAAGTGTTTTTTCAAACGAGACGTAAAAACAGTGAGAGGGAGCCTGCCTGACCTGCAGTGGTAACTCAGTCCAGTCTTGGACCTGCAACAGAGAAGGTTCTGTCGCCTCTGAGCTTAAAATGAGTGCGTGGAACCAGTCAAACATCTGTTCTGACCTCAGACTGTGGGACATATGGCTGCAGCAGATCAGTGAGGTAGGAGGAGGCAGAAGTGTTCAGAGATTTAAAACCTACAGAAGCATTTTTAAATGATTTAGACCGTGAACTGGGAGCCAGTGAAGGGAGGCCAGAACTGGAATAATGTGCTATAGTAATCACAGCAATCCCAATAATAATATAATAGTATAGTTATGTGCTTTGACGGTGCTTCATCTGAAACCTTCACTTTTCAGGTGGAGCGTTCAGTAGGACCCAGACAGCAGGTCTACCTGCAGGGCCTCTTAGAAGAAGGAACATCTGGCTGGCTGCTGATGTGAGGAATAAAACAAGTTCATGAAGGTTCAGCCTGTCAGACACATTTCACCAACATATACTCAGTCAGCAGAGGGTGCTGACACATGAAGGAGCTCATTATCTAAACTTAGAGGAAATATCACGCACGCACTAATGATGTTCCCAGAGCCTTCTGCTGGAACATCCTGTCAGAAGCAGCACTTTGCCATTGAAGTTGATTTAAATAGATTTTAATGAAGTTGCACACCGAGGTAGACTCTGAATCTAATCAGGAGATGCAGAAACAGCCGGGAGGGCTTCTACAAGGGCGAAGGGCAGGAAAGATTCTGTTCCCGTATGTTGCTCCCTCACCGCCACAGGTTATTATGATAAATTCAAAATTAGGAATTACATGTTTTAAACACTTTTCACAGCAATTAAACTGAGTGTCAGCGATGTCATTAGCATTCTGCGTGAGCATCACTTGAATCCATTCAATCCAAGCAGATGCAACATGTAGGACAAACTCTGCCACGACAACATGTACACACCGTCAGCAAAAACAGAAAGACAGGAGGACGTTAATTATTAAAAACACAACGTGAGCATGTCATGTACATGACAACACACACTGGAATAAGACACAACCAGGTTTTCTCGATGTCTGACAATAAACCAACCAAACCTTTTTGTTTTAGCTCAGTTAGGATTCCCAAAGTCATTTTTATTTACTAAACATCAAAATATTGAGAGTTTCTTTTTAATTAAAGCTATAAAGTCATTTACACTAAGATTAAAATGCTTTGAACCTTTTCAGAAGAATTATACCAAGGCTTTGGAAGTGTTTGAACGGTTAGTTGTCAACATCAGTGGTCATTACATTTACAGGCAGACCTCAAACACAACACTAGTTTGTGGGACAATAAGGACAACATCAAAAGTTCATCGACCTCCAATTCTGGATCATTCTTGGATACAATTTACAGATGACTGGATCGTCCATTTAACAATTTTACACGAGTTAAACACCATGAGGAAGGAGGTGGGCTCTGGCTGGCAGATCGATGTGTTCAGGTGTGAAATGTGTCCATCAGTCCTAACGGAGCTGGAGAACATATTGTCTGAAGACAGAGAGTGAAACTTACACATCGAATCATTTCATCAAATGACCATTACACACAGAGTATGTTTTAAATTCACTGATAAATCTCATTGTGATGGAACCTGAAAAGCATCAGCATCAGTTCTACCATCCCTGAAACAGTTTTATACTTGGTGTAAATATATTGTTAATTATCAGTTATGAGTTAAGCTCATAAAACATCCATCCATCCAGCCATCCATTTTCTTCCTCTTATCCGGGATCGGGTTGTGGGGGTAGCAGCCTTAAGTAAGTAAGTAAAACTTTATTTATATAGCGCTTCTTAAGATAAAAAAAATCACAAAACGCTTCAACAAATCAGATAAACAAAAGCAAAAAACAAATTCAGGCAAAAGCAGATTTAAAAAGATAAGTTTTTAGCTGACTTTTAAAATAAATCACCGATTCCAGTGATCGAAAAGTTTGAGGAAGAGAGTTCAAGAGTCTTGGAGCCATGGAAGAAAAGGCTCTATCTCCTTTAGTTTTCAATTTTGTCTGGCAGACAGTCAGCAGGCCTTGATCACAGGACCTCAGAGCTCTGATCGGTGTGTAGGGATGTAAAAGTTCTGTAGGGAGGCCCAGACTTCCCTCTCCCCAGCCACTAGGTCCAGCTCCACCAAGGGAATCCCGAGGCATTCCCAGGCCAGCTGATAAACATTCCCTCCAGCTTGTCCTGGGTCTTCCTCTGGGCCTCCTCCTGGTGGGACGTGTCTGGAACACCTCACCAGGGAGGTTTCCAAGAGGCATCCTAACCAGATGCCCAAGCCACCTCAACTGGCTCCTCTCGATGTGGAGAAGCAGCGGCTCTACTCTGAGTCCCTCCCGGATGATCGAGCTTCTCACCCTATCTCTAAGGGAGAGCCCAGACACCCTGCGGAGAAAACTCATTTCGGCCGCTTGTATCCGAGATCTCGTTCTTTCGGTCATAACCCAAAGCTCATGACCATAGATGAGGGTAGGAACGTAGATCGATCGGTAAATTGAGAGCTTCGCCTTTTGACAAAGCTCTCTCTTCACCACGACAGACCTGTACAGTGCCCGCTTCACTGCAGACGCTGCACCTATCCACCTATCAATCTTGCGTTCCATTTTTCCCTCATTCGTGAACAAGACCCCAAGATACTTGAACTCCTCCACTTGGGGCAGGACCTCCTCCCTGACCCGGAGAGAGCACTCTACCGTTTTCTGGCTCAAGACCATGGCCTCGGATTTGGAGGAACTGATCTTAATCCCGGCTGTGTCACACTCTGCTGTGAACCGCTCCAGCGAAAGCTGTAGATCACGATCTGATGAAGCCAATAGGACCACATCATCTGCAAAAAGCAGAGATGCGAACCTAAGGCCACAAAAACGGATCCCCTCAACATCTTGGCTGCACCTAGAAATTCTGTCCATAAAAGTTATGAACAGAATCAGTGACAAAGGACAACCTTGGTGGAGTTCAACTCCCACTGGGAACAAGCCTGACTTACTGCTGGCAATGCGGACCAGGCTCGGACACCGGTCATACAGGGACCTAACAGCCCATATCAAAGGGACTGGTACACCATCCCAGAGTACCCCCCACAGGGTTCCCCGAGAAATGCGGTCGAACGCCTTCTCCAAGTCCACAAAGCACATGTAGACTGGTTGGGCAAACACAAACGCACCCTCCAGGACCCTGCTGAGAGTGTAGAGCTGGTCCAGTGTCCACGACCAGGATGAAAACAGCACTGCTCCTCCTGAATCCGAGGTTCAACTATCCGACGGACCCTCCTCTCCAGAACCCCCGAATAGACCTTACCAGGGAGGCTTAAGAGTGTGATCTCCCTATAGTTGGAACAAACTCTATGGTCCCCCTTTTTGAATAGGGGGACCACCACCCCGGTCTGCCAATCCAGGGGAACTTCCCCCAATGTCCACACAATATGGCAGAGTTGCGTAAGCCAACACAACCCTACAACATCCAGAGCCTTAAGGAACTCCGGGCGAATCTCACCCACCCCTGGGGCCCTGCCACCGAGGAGCTTTTTAACCACCTCGGCCCGACCCAAAATCCCCAGGCTCCGCTTCCTCAGTGGAAGACGTGCCGGTGGGGTTGAGGAGGTCTTCGAAATATTCTGCCCACCGACCCATGACATCTCAAGTTGAGATTGGCAGCACACCACCTCCACTATAAACAGTGTTGGTGGTGTACCGCTTTCCCCCCTGAGACCTCAGATGGTGGACCAGAATCGCCTCTAAGTCGTGCGGAAGTCATTCTCAATGGCCTCTCCGAACTCCTCCCACACCCGAGTTTTTGCCTCAATGACCACCCAAGCCGAATGTCGTTTGGACTGCCGGTACTCAGCTGCTTCCGGGGTCCCACAGGCCAAAAAGGCCCGATAGGACTCCATCTTCAGCCTGACAGCATCCCTCACCGTTAGTGTCCACCACCAGGTTCGAGGGTTGCTGCCGTGACAGGCACAAACAACCTTGCAGCCACAGCTCCGGTAAGCTTTCTCGACAATAGAGGCACGGAACATGGCCCACTCAGACTCGATGTCCCCTACCTCCCCCAGAACATGTTCGAAATTCTCCCAGAGGTGGGAGATAAAGCTCCGTCTCACAGGAGACTCTGCCAGACGTTCCCCAAACCCTCACAATATATTTGGGCCTGCCAAGTCTGACCGTCATCCTCCCCCACCATCGGAGCCAACTCACCACCAGGTAGAAGTAAGTGGACAGCCCCGCCCCTCTCTTCACCCGAGTGTCCAAGACATAAAGCCGCAGATCAGATGAGACAACAACAAAGTCAATCATCGAACTGCGGCCTAGGGTGTCCTGGGGCCAAGAGCACATATGGACACCCTTATGCTTGAACATGGTGTTTGTTATGGACAATCTATGATGAGCACAGAAGTCCAACAACAGATTACCACTTGGGTTCTGATCAGGGGGGCCGTTACTCACAACCACACCCCTCCTCACAACCACACCCCTCCAGTTCTCACTGTAATTGCCCACATGAGCATTGAAGTCCCCCAGTAGAACAAGGGAGTCCCCAGGAGGTGCACTCTCCAGTACCCCCTCCAGGGACTCCAAAAGGGTGGGTAATCTGAGCTGCCGTTTTGTGCATAAGCACAAACGACAGTCAGAACCCATCCCCCCACACGTAGGTGGAGGGAGGCCACCCTCTCATTCACTGGGGTGAACCCCAACACACAGGCACCAAGTTGGGGGTCAATAAGTATGCCCACTCCTGCTCGGCACCTCTCACCAGGGGCAACTCCAGAGTGGAAGAGTGTCCAGCCCCTCTCAAGGAAACTGGTTCCAGAGCCAGAGCCATGCGTAGAGGGTGAGTTCGACTATTTCTAGCTGGAGCCTCTCAGCCTCACACACCAGCTCAGGCTCCTTCCCCACCAGAGGTGACATTCCACGTCCCAATAGCCAGCTTCTGTAGCCGAGGATCAGACCGCAAAGGTCCCCGCCCTAGGCCACCCCCCTTTCCACATTGTACCCAACCCCTTTGGCCCCTCCCACAGGTGGTGAGCCCATGAGAAGGGGGACCCACGTCTCCTATTCAGGCTGTGCCCGGCCAAGCTCCATAGGTAAAAGCCCGGCCACCAGGCGCTCGCCAGCATGCCCCACCTCCAGAGTGTGGCCCCGGTGACCCACGTCCGGGCGAGGGAACATCGCGTCCATTTATTTTTCTCATCATAGGGATGTTTGGGCTGCACTTTGTCTGGTACCTCACCTAGGACCTGTCTGCCTTGGGTGACCCTACTAGGAGCGTGAAGCCCCTGACAGCATAGCTCCTAGGCTCATTGGGACACTCAAACCCCTCCACCATGGTAAGGTGGCAGCCCAGGGATGATATGCATGTATTATGCAAATAACCTCGTTTTTGGGCACCACCTCTCTCTTAGAGAGGAAAACCAGTCTCTTACCCCAAATTAATGTAAATTGAACGTGAAATTCTTTTCTCGTGTTTAAAGAATATCAAATCAATTAATACACACAGATATGCCAAAAATAATCACAAATTCAGTTGATTTTTATGTATTTTATTATAAAAATAATCTGATATATATGGTGAAAATTATGCATGACAAAAGTTAACAGAATATCAAATGATGTTGAATCAAAGGTCTAATTAATGAGTAAAATTGGTGAAACTTTGTAAGGCAGACTTAGGACTGGTTTATGTTGAAGTTTTTAAAATGTATCTAAGGTGAGCTAAGTTTGTCTGATAAGTTTATTGTGATGTAGGATCACCAGAAAGGCTTTGAAAAGTCTTCTACCAGGATGTAGATGGTCAGAGCATGGTTCCAACCACCTGGATCTCTGTGATCCTGACCGCCTGGATGTTTCATTCACCTTTATTTCTACAGGTAAATCTCATTGAGCCTCGAGGACTCATTTACAAGAGAGACCTGATTTCAACAAAGAAAGATGACAACAATGGACAACAGCGACAACAATAAACAGTTATAAAAAGTCATACTACAGTTTTTTATTTATTTATAACAAATAGGATGGCTAAAAGAAAAAGGAAACAAAAAAAACAGCTAGATTCTAAGGCGATCTCTGTGATCCTGATTGTTTATAAGCATTTTGGGACGGAGAGGCGTCACAGCTATGCTGCTGCTGGGTCAGGACATGATGGACATTTGGATGCTCCAAAAAAGTTCAATCTGGTCCTCTGGACATTCAAAAAAACAAAAAACAAAACAAAGCAAAAAAATGTAGATGCGTTTCGTCTCTCATCCGAGAGACTTCCTCAGTCTGAGGTGCTGTATTCAGCTCAGTCTCTTAAATAGCACCTTCTCAGAGTGGATCAACCAGTTTGCTGCTGACAACCAGAACCAGCTGCTCACATGGTCAAGAAGGACCATCAGCCTAACAATGGATCATTAGCACACTGATGGCTGTTTACTATTCACAGGGGGCTGAGTGATACTAGCAATCACAGCATTGTAAGAGGGGGACAACTGAACCCGGAGGCTCCACCTGTTTCTTCTTCTACTTCTATTCCTGTAGACTCCTGGTGGAGCATAGGGCTGCAACAACACCCCGCCAACGAACTCTGTTTTGGGCGGCTCTCTTCAGCTGGGTCCACTCTTAACTCCGCCAAGGACGGTCCCAAGCCCGGCTGAAAAAGGAGGAGGGTTGGGCGTGGGGCTAGCAACTCCACCCCGGAAAACAAACTAGTGCTACAGAAACTGCAGCGACAACTTCAACTCCACCTGTTTAATGATGGACAATTTCTTTTCACAAAGATGGCCTCCTTTACTCCTCTCTCAAACCATCGTTCCTCTCTGTCCAGGATGTGAACATCTTCATCCCTGAAAGAGTGACCGCTGGCCTGGAGATGAGTGTAGACCTCAGAGTCCTGGCCTGATGTTGATCTTCTGTGCTGGTCCATCCTTTTGGCCAGTGGCTGTTTAGTTTCCCCGATGTAAGACTGATCACCCTCCTGACACTGAACAACATATACAATATTACTCTGTTTGTGCCAGGGGACTGGATCTTTGGGATGAACCAGTCTTTGCCGTAATGTATTTTGGGGTTTAAAAGCCACTGGGACGTTATGTTTAGAAAATAAACGTCTCAGTTTCTCTGATACTCCCTCAACATACGGAATGACCACTAGTCTGGGTCTGGGTTCCTCCTTTTCACCTGTTGGCTGACTGGAGTACTATTTGGGTTTCTTCTTTTAGGAAGGCCCAGTTAGGATATCCACATTGCTCTAGAGCCTGTCTTGTGTAGGATTTCTCCTTCTGCCTGGCTCCTGAGTTAGTGGGGACGCAATCTGCTCTGTGGTACAGAGTCCTGATGACTCCTAACTTGTGCTCCAAAGGGTGATGGGAGTCAAACTGCAAATACTGGTCTGTTTGGGTGGGTTTGCGGTACACCTCGGTTTGCAAATGTCCTCTATCAGAGACTGAGACCTCACAGTCCAAGAAAGCCAAATTGCCATTTGTTACATCTTCACGTGTGAACTTGATGTATTTATCCACAGAGTTGATGTGGTCAGTAAAATGTTGGACTTCCTGAGATTTGATTTTAACCCAGGTGTCGTCAACATACCTGAACCAATGACTTGGTGGTGTCCCTGAAAAGGACGTCAAGGCTCTCTTTTCTACCTCCTCCATGTACAGGTTGGCAACAATAGGAGAAACTGGAGACCCCATAGCACACCCATGTTTCTGACTATAATATTGCTCCCCATATGTGAAGTAGGTTGACTGCAGGCACAGTTTCAAGAGTTGACACAGTTGTTCTGTGGAAAGCGTGGTCCTGCTGCTCAGAGTGGTGTCTGATTTTAATCTTAAACTGACCACCTCTACTGCATCATCAACAGGAATGCACGTAAAGAGTGATGTGACATCAAAAGAGACCATTGTTTCATCAGTCTCCATGATGACATCCCTCACCTTGTCCACAAAGTCCATGGTGTTCTGTATGTGGTGTTCTGAGCTGCCAACTAAAGGGATGAGTACAGACGCCAGATATTTGGAAACATTGTAAGTGACAGAGTTAATCATGCTCTCAATAGGTCTTAAAGATACACCTTGTTTGTGGATTTTAGGTAAACCATACAGACTAGGTGTGGCCTCCCCTGGGTACAGTCTGTGGTACAGAATACGGTCAATAGCCTTGTCCTGCTCCAAAATGTTCAGGCAATCTATTAACTTCTTCTTGTAACCACTTCCTGGATCTCTTTTCAGAGGTTCATAAGTGGTTAAGTCACTAAGGAGTGTCATAACTTTCTCATGATAGTCTTTCTGGTTCAAAATCACTGTGCACCTTCCTTTGTTTGCTGGGAGAATGATGATGTTTTTGTCCTTGCTAAGAGTGGTGAGTGCATCCCTCTCCTCTCTACTGATGTTGGAAGGTGGTGGTTTGGCATTGCTGAGGCAGGATGAAACTTTGACTCTGAGCTGTTCTGCTTCAGCCTCTTTAATTTTGTTGTTGCGGATGGCTGATTCTGTGGCTGTGATCATCTCCACCAGAGGTATTCTACTTGGTGCAACCACAAAGTTCAGTCCCCTGGCAAGAATATCTGTCTCTGGCTGGGTGAGCTGTCTGTCAGATAAATTCTTCACCCACTTTTCTGTCTCCCTGGCATGTAATTGAGAGTTGTCCTACACTGAATGTGTTGTTATTGGAATAGTGATGGTGTTGATGAGTTTGGATGATTGGTGCACTCACATGCTGCCTCTAGGTTGGGAACTGTGCTCACCCCTGGGCTCACACCTGGGCTCACCATGAAGCAGACAGCAGGCCCCGCCCTGCTCTGCACTAACTGGGTCAAACTGAGGCTCTGCTTCTCTTTACTGGTTGAAAGTAATGACAGTTTAATTCCTGCATCATCATTCGATTTTATCCGCAAATGGTGTCCCTATTGAGTTTGTTGATTCAGAGTCAGAGTCAGAGTCAGAGTTTCTTTATTGTCATTCGCACCTCATGTGGTACATGTGGTGGAGCGAAATTGTGTACACAGGGTCCCAGTTACATCCAACAATAAAATGTATAAGAAAAACAGTAATGACATCTAAGATATGAACTAAGAAAAACATCAACTAAATATACACTAAGCACTCATAACATAAAACATTGAACATCACCACAAACATGAACATGAGTCTGTGAGCAGATGTGCACGCATGAACACATCAACATTGAAACAGATCAGCAGCAACATGAAACAGATCAGCAGCAACATGATATGGTTTTTCACAGTGATTATTCTAGTTAGAGATTCATGAGTCTAACAGCCTCAGGGTAGAAGCTGTTCCTCAGTCTAGTGGTTCTACACTTAATGCTCCTTAACCTCCTTCCTGAGGGGAGTGGGGCAAAAAGTGTGTGTGCTGGGTGAGTGGGGTCCTTCATGATGCAGGTGGCCCTCTTCCTGCATCTGGAGGTGTAGATGTCTGTGATGGTGGGGAGGCTGACTCCAACATCTTCTGTGCAGCCTTCACCACTCTCTGCAAAGCTTTTCTTTCTGCAGCTGTGCAGCCTCCATGCCACACGTTGATGCTGGAGCACAGGATGCTCTCCACTGCACACCTGTAGAAGGAGGTGAGGACTGAGCTTCCCAGACCAGCTCGCCTCAGCCATCTGAGGAAGTAGAGTCTCTGATGAGCTTTCTTGATCAGGCTGGTGGTGTTGTTGCTCCAGCTGAGGTTGTCATTCATGTGTACACCCAAGTACTTGTAGCTGGAGACCACTTCCACCGCAGATCCTCTTATGTTCAGGGGGGTGTAGGTGTTTTTGTTCCTTCTGAAGTCCACAATCACAATCATCTCCTTTGTCTTCTTCACATTGATGTGAAGGTTATTCTCTCTGCACCAGCTCTCCAGGTGTTCCACCTCTTGCCTGTAGCTGGACTCATCATTGTTTGTGATGCATCCCACCACCGCTGTATCATCTGCAAACTTTACAATGTGACAGCCTGGATGGGTAGCTGCACAATCATATGTGAGCAGAGTAAACAGAAGGGGGCTCAACACACATCCCTGAGGAGAGCCAGTGCTGAGGGTTATGGTGGAGGAGGAGAGGTTGTGGATCCT